CAAATATCGGGTTAAATATCGGTGGGGTGGCCGATGTCCGATATTCAGTTTTAAGGCCGATACCGATAGGGGGCCGATTATATCGTGCACCCCTAATATTTTGTTTTTACAGCTTCTTCCTCGCTTAGTGGTCCTCAGTCCCTGTCAGTACAAGACATAGTTCACCATCTGGATAAGATGCACATTTTTCACAAGTGAGATGCAACATAACCTCATAGCTGGACATTACTGACAATAATAGTATAAGCAGATAAACGGTCCGGCATCCAGAAACTGCACCGAAGTAGAAACAAAAACCTGTGATCTTCCTGCTTTCTCTTGAGTTTTTCCTTGATGTCAGCCTTGGATTTTAGGTGTTGCCTTTAAACACATTGATACAGGCGTCTTTGTTTCATTCAAATGATAAATTTGAATATATTTATTGTGACCGGAGGCATTTGCTTTGATTTAATATCAAACTGAAGTGTTTTTATGTAAATATCTGGTTTAATTTTAACATCAGCTTAACTCTCTCCCAGGTCGGTGATTCTTTCACACCCTGCCGGGTCTGAAGCTTCACCCATCTGCAGTCAGACAGCTATGGTACCTCTTGCTCCCTCCATCCCTCTCACAACCTGCCCTGCTCTGCTGAGAGCTGCCCTGCAGGGGGAGGAGCGGCAGAGGAGGAGGTGCTGCTGCAGTGCAACGCAGATGCCGGTGGTCACTGACCTAGAGTATGATGCTTTCATTACGGGTCAGCCTCTTCACAGCAAACAGATACTGGTGGTATGTGTTACGCCACGTCAGCAGCCTGTTAACAAACACGCAGCAACCAGGTGGGATGCTCTGGACGATCTCTACAGGAGGAGGAACAAGCGCAGAACCATGCCATGCACTGAGGTGTGAACAGAACTCTGTGCAGTGCATTAAGTTAAGATAAAAATGACTACACATATGTGATCAATGTATAATCAGAAGAATACCGAATTAAGTCTGTAATTAAGCCAGGAGGGCATGCATCATCGTTGTCATCATGGTGCATCACTTTCGTCATCATTAAATTCAATCAGCAAGAATTTTATTGATGCTGATGCACTTTTTCAAGGATAGAAGCAGTGTTGCATAAATAAATGAATAGAAAACGACACAAAGCCCAGTCAGCAGTTTTATAGAAACCCCAGTAACAGGTTGCCTGTGTTCACCCAGTGCCAGATGGACTCTTTTCGCCTGGTCAGGTACGAGATGTCGGCCGGATTGGCAGGCTCCGGGCCTGAGAACGTTCTGCTGCAACAGCGACATGATGCTGCTCCTGGGATGTTCTTGGTAGGTGAACTCACTGCAGACTTTTCAATAGGCTGCAGGTCTTCACAGCAGCCACACGGGGGCAGCAGCAGCTCTGTTCTTGCAAAGTAATGGTCCTTTCCAAAATGCTGCATTTATCTTAAACATACTTTGAGCTGACAAGCATCAGGATGAGCTGCCTCTTAATCATTAAGGACAGCACTGATCTTTGCTCCAGAGTCATGAGATCTGCTCCACTGATTTCTGCCGTACAGTGAAAAATTCCTCTTCTCTCCATAAATCAAACAAAAGTGACTTAAGTCATTGTAGCATGAAATTGTAAGAGTGCCTAAAACCTGCAGGTGCAGAGCTCTTATCTGCAGAAAGCACTA